AGTTTACCCCACGTATGTGTGTTTGTTAACAATATTGACAGATGACACTCCCCTGAAAAAACGCCAATAAATATGTTTTTGGATACATACAGGTGTAACTCTATATAGGAAAAGATAAAATTTCATCTATTGTATGGTCTGGAATTTCATCTGACAGATCAAATGGCTGTATTCAGAGGATACATGGGTGACTGTAGGACGGGCAGAACTGAGCTGTTTCACTTTGAAAGGTCACCCTGACCCAAAAATTAAATCTAAAGGACAAATTATAAAATACCACAGGATTGAGATAGTAGTCAAATTAAAGTGTGTCAAGTTTTACTGGGTCGATTGGAGGGAGCACCTGTTACGTGGTCATATTTGTGTGTTATATAAGTCATTCCATTTTATCCATTGATGATACCCTAGGAAGAGTCTTTGAAATATATAGTGAAGACAAACGTTATATAAAGTCAGTACAGCGCTCCGTACATGAAAATATATTTTATTTTATCAAATGCTGTGAAACATGTACGAAAGTTTGTTATAAAGTATGTTTGTCAAATGGACAAAAATGTTTCACTGTAAAATTGATGATTATCTTTACAACATTTAAGGTGTCCAGCTATTTTGTTCGTAAGTTAGTAATGTATGGTGTCCATGAACATATGTCAATTGTTTTCCAGATTTTGCTGATAAAATATTCTTAAGAAAAAAATGTTTGTAAAAATGGGGATTCAAACTGGTTGGTATACATTTACAACTTTGGGTGTATGTTGAGCCTCGTATACATACAGTGTGTCTAATAAGGTATAGTATTTAGGCATGTATAGGGTGGGTGGCTTGCTGGGTTGCGTGACCTGATGTTGTTTTGTGGGGACAGATAGATAATCACACCATTATGTACCTGTATACCTACAATCTCCGGGGGTAATGGGGCGCAATCTTTGTTTTTAAGGTGTGTTACTTCATTTTCGTTTTGTATGGAAAACACAAACAGGTCCTGGTCAGGTGCCATAGTGTACAAGCCTGTGGCTACTGGTACCTGTTCTGGGACCTTTCTGGAGCTCGAGTCACTGTGTAGGATAGTGTACATATATCAGGCCTATGAGCAATCTGTAGGCAATTTCACGAGAAATAAACTGCAACGATGCAGTATTTATATAACTCCAGTTCATTCAGTGAACCTTCTCTGAACTGTTTCTTTAGTTTCAAATGTGGCTTTAACGTTTTGAGGCAAATGCAGCATTCATACTGGAGAAGAGGACCATTCTTTTTCTGTTGAAGTAGTGCTACCTTTCTGATACAAAATCTGTTAACTGATGTAAAACTGTATAAATTTAAACCATATACCACTACAGGACTGATCCTATAATTTATAATGAAAAAAATCATAGCATGGAATTTGAATATAACTACATATTCTGAAGGAAAAGTTTCGTTGTCATGGTTTTTGAACTGGATAGCTATCAATATAAAGCATTTAACTTTGTTTTTTATGTACAGAATAAACATTTTAAAGTCGATTTGAAGGTATGGGAAACTGTCCCCTGCAGTGACCTGTAGGTAAAGCTGTTCCAGATGAGAGGCAACTGACATAGTTGTGAGGTGATTTTCTGTTGACAATTTTACGCATTATAGGACAGACACATATGGCTGCCATTTTGTATTTGTATTGTTGATTTCCGTGAGAATGGGTTCATGCAGATCGATCAGCCAACAGGACAGAGAACAGCTCCTGAATCTGACACTGTAAAACTGCGAGATCATTTCCTGTGGAAAGAGAGATGTGTCATTTACCTGTTTGACAGTAGAATTGATGAGGTACAAGGGGGCACCTGTTGATTAAAAATAGCTGTAGGAATCCAGTGATTGTTTTATTGGTAGCTTCCATCTCCCCTTAGAAAATGTGTGAAAAAAGATGTTTTTTTGTCACCTAATTGGTGGTGTTGATGAACACACTAATTGATGGTGATAGGTTTATCTGTGGATCTAGAGGAACAGGTGACTTTTTTATACTGACCTGATGGTAAAGTAGTAGGGGAAGCCATTTTGTAGGGCATAATTTTCCTGATTGTTTTACAACCCACAGAGATTGGCTGTTTTCTTGGTTGAACATCATATGATGGCCTGAAGATTGCAAATGAGCCTCTTGTCAATTTAATGGTGTAAATCACTGATGCTTTGATGAAGCTATGGACACGAGCGGTACAAGATGTTTCCCAGACCGGTTTTGGTCCTAAAACAGACTCTTTTCGGTTTGAGCAAAAACCAATTTCTTCACATTTAAATTTGACATTTTTTAACAAGTATTTAACTGAAACTATTAGAGTCATAAAGAAGCCAAAGACATCAGGATCTATTTAGTTAGGATAAATATCTGTTACAGAAATTCTGGTAACATCTCAGTCTATGTGTAGAGTTTTCTGATAGGTATGGGCCTTATACAGAAGTTGATATTAAACAAACAAGGAATATAGTGACACTATCTGACATCAGTGTGCATGTAATTTACATATCTCACAGCTAGGACACTTAATTCACCACAGAATCAATCTGTCCCTTAGACAGTGAGGTTCTACACACACACGTTAGAACATTCTCCCCTGACTTACTTATGCATAAAAGATTGTGGCTAAGGATTGGCATGTTTATACAATTCAGGATTTAAATTTAAAGATGATGAATTACATTGATTTTTTATGTAAATTGAGTGTTTTAATTCCCATTCAGTATTCATAATCTTGAAACGTATAGCTGTCGCTTTTATTTCAGACAGCGTATACAACATGCAAGGTGTATGTAAATATTGTAAATTATCAATAAATCCTTTACCTACATATTACACAGCATTAAAAATTGGACAATTTCCAGGGCACACTTCTGAAGTCAGACTGATGAATGAAATTGTCACCAAAGTTCCACTTCACACATAACGTGGTGAATGGCTCTGCTGATATTTACAAACGGAGCGTCTTTTCACAGTGATTGTTATAGATTTCTAGCCTTCAGTTGTAGTTATACCAGGGTATATCTCTGGTTTGTATAGGGGTCAAGAGCAACCAACCTCGACTTCATTAGAGCATTTCATTTTGTTAGCATTATCAACATAATTACCAGGTTAGGTGAATAAAGAACCTGTTCGCCGTCTATTAATCCACTATATTTAGCGCTCTTCAATATGGCAGCTACAAGATAAAATCTTTCCAATAAGGTTAATTGTGATTTGAGATAAAGTTTTTTGTGAGATCTGTTGGTGTTTGAGGTGAATGCCTTAACTATCAGCCTAACTAACAAAGCAATGTGATAGGTTACCACAGGAGTTAACGTTAGCCGAGGGTAAATCTGTTATTTAATTACATGTAATATTAATGTAAGCATCACTTGATTGTATTTGGTCAACCTGATGGCTTCATCTTATCATAATCTGTTTTGTTTGAAAAAAAAAACTGTTTTATAATTTGTTGATCAGAGATGGTTGAATTGCTTCTACTAACTAAGAGCCATAGGAGTTAAAGTATTATGTATTGTGAAATTCAAAACCCTATTTGATGACACAGTAATAAAGCTACATTGCTCTTTGATTAATTATAAAGATTTTTTTTTAATTAATTGAAAAATACCTAAATATGGTTAGGAACATTTGAATGTTAATCAAGACCAGGTTTGAAAAAAATGCAAAATGGGATTTGTTATTTCTATCGTCCTCTGAGAGAGCACTTTTCATTGACTGGTTTGAATGTTGTATATATGAATACTTTGTACTGTGATTGTCATTGTATAGTTTTAATATCTACAACAGTATAAAGAGCTGTGTAACAGGCCATGAATTTTAAAAATCAGGGTCATGACGGCCGTTTACAGTTAAGATCTTTATGCCATTTGAGTTTTAGCTTGGGGACCTGGGAAAGATATAAATATCGCCAAACATTTTTAGATATGTATATCTGACAATGGGTGACAACGTAAAGCCATTCACTGGTGATTAATGACCGGCGAGCAGCCATTGGACTGGTATGATATTCCATATGGGGCTCTACAAATACTCTGTTAAAGTATTAAAAAACAGATAACCGTTTGATAAAACATTTAAAACCAGCCTGTTTACCTACAGTTGTGGCCAGTTATAGCACAATAATACATATAATACATGTTGTATATAATGTACATATTTTAATATGCTTGACCAATTTTATGGGAGACGAGTCTTTGACTCAATATGTGATCAAGTTTAAAAAAAGACTACTATTATTATTATTATTATTATAATATAAGTTTGTCTTTGTGATGACATCATATTTGGTTTAGTAATTACTATGTTGGTTTCCTTAGATTTATTTTGATAGTAATACAAACAGGACGCATAACATTTTAATTTTAACTTTACAACCTTGTTAACTTTGTACAAAATAGCATCTTGAGGTCATGACCCAATAACCTTAATTGCATGAAAAGCATTGGTTAGACCAGTGATGTAATATGTAACTGTAAGCTGACACCATCCTAAACATTGCAAATGGGGAAGTAATGTCTGCTCCCGATGTCCCCCTCCCGATGTCCCCCTCCCAACATTCTTCCAGTCTCATTCTACACCATCGTTTCCATGGCAATGCATGTTTAATATTGGCTGACTTGGGGTTTCTCTGCAAGGAAAAAGAATGTCGTGTATTATAGAAGTATAAGTTTAAGTTTTTGTACATTTTTGATGAAATTTCATTAGAATGGGATAATTTATCTATTTGTATATTCTTTCACATGTCAAAGAGATAATGTACAGTATTTCATGTTTCTAAAATCTGAAATGCCTCCTGTGTCAACCCTGAAGAAACTCTGGAACTAACCCTGACATGATCATGATCACACTGAATAATTCAGTTATAATGGAGAGCTCGAGGTTTCCCTTGTTTCTTAAGTTTTCGTATTTGACTATTAGCTTTTACTATTGACTAGATGAAACGAATATGTGCTATGGAGTAATATTTACTGTCCTATTAACTATTTTCTTTTTTTCTTTTTCACAGGCTACCCGAAAAATTTCGAAATGTGGATATTTGTTTGTGTCTCCTGATTTCGACTTCAGCAACCCTCTTGATCGGACCAAGGTCAGTATCAAACTCTGAAGGTCATTTGTGGCTTGACATGTTTTTAATTGTTAAGGTAGTCGTTTGAAATTTTGGTACAAGTCATATTGTAAATTTTGTATTTGAATATTTCTCTCATTGAAAATGCCTTTCTTTTGGATAAGACTGTAACCTAGAGAATTCTGAATCAGTGCACAAATTGGAAAATTCAAAAGTTGGTATCCTTCCATCTTTTGACATGTTTGTAAACAACCTCAATAAACGTTATCTTTGGCAATTGTAAACATAGAAAAGTAAACCTTTTAGTCTGGGATATCAGAGATTTTCACAGCTTAGAAAGCGGAACAATGTCTGATAACTTAAAAAGCTTAGGTTTTGTAACAGATTACTTCAAAAGATTCATATGTTTATCTTTGTCAAGATTTTAAAAGCTACAAAAACAGGTGTGTGAGTTTATCCAATTCCTGAAGTTTATCCCAAATGCAAATCAAGGGTTGGTATTAAGTGTCTGTTTGTTGGCTTCTGAAAAGAAGCTTAGATAAGACAAATCTTAAAAATGCAGGTGTATCGCTTTTCAACACACTGGCAGCCAATTTTGGTATAGATAGGAATTGTATCATCAGCATTTCAAGTGCTGACTTATCCTTCATTACCACTCTATGGGATACTATCACACACAATGTGTTCATTACCACTCCATGGGATACTATCACACACAATGTATTCATTACCACTCCATGGAATGTGTTTTATTTTTTGCTTGTTTTTCTTCATACCTTCGCTGGGTTCATGATGCTTTCAGATTTGACTGATGACAAACAAGTGTTGTATAGTTATACAAATCTCCAAGAAGTACTTTCTAATCTATTAGAAATTGGTGAGAAAGGCATAGAGATATGTGAAGTGAGCAAGTGAAAATACCGAGTCCACAAAAGAACAGTTCCTCTTGTTGTTTTAAATAATGATGTGAATTTCACTATGGATTTAAAGGAATGTGGGTTTTTAGTGAGTTGATCAAATATACACAAGGTCCTGTATGTATATGTGACTATAAACATTCGATAGTTCACAGGGTTTATATACCTATGAGCCTACAACAATGATAGCTTGTGTATATAGGTATCATGTTAGCATCCAAGTGTTATTTTAAACAGACATTCAACCAGTGCTCTGTCTTCAAGGATGAGAGCATCTTTAATGAAGAAGAAATTTCCTTTAATTCACCCTGATTATCCAGACACTGTATAGAGGTGACTATCCTCGAGTTGTATCTGACCTACCACATATCACTACTACCCTGTCTCTGTAGTACACTGGTACACTAGGGAGTCTCTATATCACACTCTGTGTAGTACACTTATACACTAGGGAGTCTCTATCACACCTCAATTATACAATTTGTATCCCCCCACAGGTAAAAATCACCAGGTAGGTTTTCCACCACCTCCTGATTTATGGCTTTTCCTCCAATGATTTAGATATACAGGAGTAAACATGTTAATTCAAGAAGGTATATCAAATTTGAATGATGTACTTCAAAAAAACTAGTATGAAAAGTTTAAAAAGTTTATAAGTATGTTATATGTAATTATAAAATGACAACTACGTGTATATTGTTATTTGGAATTAAGCCCCCGAAACATTTTTTTATCTTTAGTGAATAAAATACAACACTTTAAAAAAGAAGCTGGTACATACTAATATGAATCAAAGAAGGATTGCGAAAGGGGGCGTGAAGATATCACCACAATAGATGATCTCCTGTTTTCATTTAAGTAAAATTCAAAAAGTTATAATCGTCACATAACATGTGTCAAAGTTGTGTACATATTTCTTTCTCGAGGAGGAATGCATTTTATAGTTACAAAATAAATTGGTTTAAAATCATCAAAAATGGTACATTTGCTAAGCAATATAGTCCAAACACACCAAATGGTTGGTTATGATTGTTACCTAAAATTTCCCAAATAATCAAAGGTAATTTTAAATGTGATAATTTTGAAATATTGATACATATAATTTGAAAGTGGGCGGCTTTTTAATTAATCTTGTTTTTATCAAAGGAAGAAAATTTGGACAGAAACAGTTATCGCATGTAGTCCTTTCTAATATTGAGGGAAACACTATGATGGTTAACTTATAGAATAGGATTCAGCTATGTAAATTGTCATATTTGACATGATTTAGACATATGGTCAGGAATGATATATGGTTTCATTTACTGTTGTGGAAGGTGTGCATTGCAGTATTTCAATCTGTTGCTCATTAAAAATTGATTTCATAACATTTTCTCAGAATACAGAAACTTGATCATTTACTAATAAATCAATGGCATATATTAGATTGACGTCTCTGATATTTAATATATAAGTAGAGATAGAGAGCGTTCCCTGTATAATGCCAGTAAGTGTTGTCTACATAGTTTCTCATCAGTATAAACAGGATCCCCTACGTTATAAAAAACGCCAGACACAGTACGTAACACCTGTTTACCTGGAAAAGACACTCTCCACACCTGTACCGACTGTTTTATCCTGAACTTGTAGTGTTCCTCAATCTGACATCAAATACCTTGAAATTCTGCCAAGATTAAAAAAGTATGAAACACTATTGCCTCAAGACTTTTTTGAAAGCTCGTGATCACAGCAACTTGTAAAAAAACTAGATTTCCTTGGTGACAGACAAGAAGATACAGACACAGTTTAGTTACTTTTTTTTCACACATAATAAATATGAACTATGAAAGTTTTTGTTTCTTTAAATTTCAACAGAAATACTTATAAGCTATGAATTTACTGAGAAAGGCTAAGAGCATACCCCTGTGTGCTAGCTATATATACACAGAGAAACATCAAGGTATCCTACTATTATTCTTTAGGTTATTTTGGAGAAAATAAATAAATGATTTAAGGTTAGTATGTCTTTAAGTCACTGCTTTTGCATGACCTTTGACCTGATGTCATTTCATTGGTCAAACAAGGTTATTATTTGCCATATTTTATACATGAAAAATTGTTTATTAAATGTTTCATAACTGGTTTGTGTATATTTTTATTATCTACACGAAATTAATCATCAAAAGATCTTAGTAAGGTACACAATGACCTGGTCCTAGCTGTATTTTTATGTATTGGAGACAAAACTTAGGATAATTCAGCTTCAGAAGATACAGCTGGCCCATTACCATATGCTCAGTCTTGAAAATATTCCTAATTCAGATGTGAAACATAGGTCTTTATGTTGACTTGTAAAACGCCTATCCATCTCACATTCCTCATTGCATCTAATGCAAATAGGCACTTATTCTTAAACGTTGTAAAATTAGAACCCAATTGTAAAGCCAGCTTGTCTGTTACCAATTGTAAAGCCAGCTTGTCTGTTACCAGTTTGCTGTTAAACTGTACAGGTAGTACACAACTCTTGTTAAAATCTTTTCCTCAGTCTATTCAAGTGCTCAGTCCTAATTTTTTATACTTCTCCCTTTGGCTCCTGTGGCCACACATCAAAAACATCACCAAAACAATACCCCGCCCCCATCATCTTCTGCTTATTTCTATTCATAAACAACAGCTGTCATATAAATGCAATGTTTGATAAATTAAGACCAAGAAAAACAAAAAAAAATATGGTGGACTTGAAAAGGGAAGTGTTCTAAAGTCCTTTTGAAGTGCACTTCATAAAGGTCTTATAAGTTAAGGAGAACAATACATATCTACAACATCTTGTATAAGGTTTGGTTAACTGGAATGAAGCAAGCCAAATATCGCCTGTAACTAATTCAGTAAAACATGTTTTATCTTTGAAAAAAACCTAGCATCAAAGAAAAAGTGTAAAAAGAAATTAAAAAAGATATAAACGATATGGTTTTATGCTTATTGCCTTTGAGGTCTTGCAAAGGTTGATATAAACAAATTCACAATAAGTGATAATTCAATTGAAAAATGTATTCTGTTTTCTGAAATCAGAATATAAAGTGCATTCGTTTTGGCAATTGTACAGTAAAACCTCGTTATACAGCCACCTTCTGTCCTCTGTGATTTTGGCGGTATAACAACGATGTTGGCGGTATATCAGGTTTACTATTTTGAACCCAAGTGTTCACACACCAACTGAACTTATACTTTAAAATAATAATAATAAACTTCAGAATACGTTTTTTTTCAAAATTGTAATTTAATGTATCAAATTGTTGAGGGTGCAAAACATACAGGTGAGTACCTGGTCAGTTGGCAGTCACTCGTAGCAATACAATGTACACACATACGTTACATTCCTGTCATCGTGATATACCTGTACTCCTCAAATTGGCGGCATTTAACTAGGTCAAAATAGTGTGATTTTAACCATTTGTTAATATATTAGTTTGGGAATATGATGGCGGTATGTGGGTTTGGCGTTACAACGGATGCATTAGCATTGGGGAAATCTGTTCTGAGTAAATTAATGGCGGTATGCGTGTTTGGTGGTTTAACGGTGGCATTACAAGGGGGTTTTACTGTATATTTATGATTTTACTAGCACTTGTAACCATGAATGTAGTTTACCTAGCTCAGTGCCTAATGTATGTTGGAGTCTGTTTATCATGCTCTTGTGCCTTGAACAACCCATTGTGATCTTAATGATTTAGGCAGTAATATATAAGTTATTACTTTACAAAATATTTTGGTTTCTGCTGATGAATACATGGAAGTACTTTCAGTTAGATCTGATAACAACTGTAGGCTTTGTGTAGAGAACTTCTCATACATTGGTGTCAGGGACTGGATCCAGGTCAATCATTACCTAGATCAAATATTTTCATTTGTACTTTTATCAATATTCTCAATGAATATTTTGCCCTGGTTTTCTCCTTTGACCAGTGCAAGAAATGCCTCATCTAAGTCACTGTTGTGTTTTTACCTTGCCAATTATTTGCGGTTTGGAAATTTTTGTGGTGGCAAAGGTGTTATGATATATAACATATTCATGAGTGTATTTTATTTGTAATGATTCATTTAACACAAAATTAGCGAGTAGTTTTA